AGAATAAGAGATAAAATTCAGATAAGTTTTTGAAGAGAGTGGATAACTTTGGAAGGTAAGGAAACACGTCATTTGGAGTTCAAATCAAACCAAATGACTTTTGAAAAAATTTCCAATGGATAAATTTCATGATAACTGATAATAACTGAAAAGGAGCGTCTGTTCACAACAGACATCTTACCCCTATAAATATAAAGTTATCTCTTCTTCTTCTTTGTCTCTTGAACCCAAAAACAAATCCCTACTATTATCTAAATAAAACAGCCCCTTTTTGCACTTCGATTGCTGCAGAAATCCTTGTACAAAAACTATTGTTTTGTGACTTTCCAAAGGACGGTTCAGTGGTTGATCTTGCTAGTGCAAAAGCAAGATCAACAAGGCATTTCATTGTATCCTACGGGCATTTCGGGTTACTCCTTTTGCATACCAGATTTGGTGGGGGCGAAATTAGCCTAAAGGAAAGTGGCATTTGCAACACGCCTTAAATCCATTCGCAGATTTTCTACCCTATTTTTCCAACAAAAATCTAGTAAGAGTGATTGTGCTATTGAAATATGGTGATCACCTGTGGTTTTTTGTTTTTCTTTTGATTTGATGCCTTTGTGTTATTTTTCCAATTTCTGCTTAAAGTGGCTCTTTTCTGGTCTGGAAGTTTTAGTTGGATAGAGTATTGAATACCAAGTTCTTCTCAGCAGAAGGATTTGCACTATTTTGCCAAATACTCTGCCTCTAGGAAGTATTAGCCATAGTGTCCAAATCTGTAATAGTCTACTCTCTTTCTACTTTTCCCTGATTGCCTGTATATTCCTACTAGCACTTCTCTTTGCTAATTCTGCATATCATCTCATATTTGTTTCATTGTTTGCTGAAAAAGAGATTTTTTGTTTGAAGGTATAATGATGGGCATCCACTGTTTGCCGATGATCATTCCTCTATACTTGACAATTTCTTTGCTTATCATCCAGAGAAAGGTAGGAAAATGGGCGCTGACATTGACTATTTCATGGTATACTTAATTACTTAACTTTTGCTTAGTTATTATTATTTTTTTCTCACTTTTTAAAGTCATTTTCTTACTGAAGGGGACCTCACAGGACAGAAACAAAGAATGTTGAATTCTACATGTTAGTGCATTTTATTTTTTTGGTGCATGATATTGTAGGTTATATATCTAGTAAACGGATAATTGCATAATCCTCCTCCGCCTCCCAAAATCCTCCCCATCTCATTCTTGGGATTCAAACTCAAACTGCATGCATGAATGTGAAACAATATCTTTTACATGAGAAAACAAATGGTTATACATACTTGTGTACGTCGTAATGTGTTGCCTGTTTATTTATTTATTTTTGAACAGTAAAAAAAAATATTAATTAAAAAATGGAGTACAAGGGGTACCGTAAACCCATTAACATCCCAACTTGAAAAGCATAAGTTTACATCTGTATAGTGTTGATATCAAAATTGTGTGTCAACACAACGTCCGTGTCGGAATTCTGGGTGCTTACCGTATAGTGTCAACACCAAATTTATGTGTCGACACCACACCCATGTCGGGTTTTCTATCCTCTTTTGCAATTTCTCCATATCTCACTGTTCTTATCATCAAACCCACTGGCACGAGAAACCCCTATTGTGTAAAAAACACCTTCATATGGTATTATTGCAAACATCATATCATCTCACCTTGCTCAAATTCTATCAATCTTAGTTTTGGAACTTTTACTATTTGGCATCTA